AAGTGTCTTTTCTTCAGTCTATTTATAGGAATAGATCCGACAAGGGCTTGTGCAGATCTGTTTTGGTGGTTTATCAGTCTTTCGTTATAGCGACTGGAGTAGAAAGAGATCTGATCTTCTATTAGGTGTATACACTGAATCCATTTAGTTGGATAGGTCTTCTGCTAGTTGTTTTTATTTCACAAATTAGGGCTATGTCGATCTTGTTGTCTGTGATGAATTACATAGCTCTAGCATTTTGCCAGTCAGACCCCTGGCGTTCCACACTAGTGTTTTGAGCTTCATTTTTGGTTGGCCGACATAAGTAGAGCCATTATTTGGCTCTGCATCTTAAATAGTTTATTTTGCTGCTCGAAGAATTTATTAAAGTTTTCTTGCATCACTTTAATCATTTGCTCAAATTTCGTCTCATGAGCCGCTTCGTTCTCCCACTGGGAAAAGGTGAAAGGCGACTGAGCTTGATTATTTTGCGGCTGTTGTCGCAAATGTACTCGCTGGGTTGTGTGCCCTTGGTGTTGTTGTTGGTAGTTATGTGTATCACTATTAAAATGATTGGTAGCATTAAGTGGAGCCTGCCTTTTGGGACCTCTGTTTTCATGACTACGTGCCATGTCTGCATAGGAGATTCCAGTTGCTTTTACGTAAGGGGATGGCGCCAAAGCAGTATATGTGCTCGAGGGTCCTGCACTCTTTGTAGGTTTTTTCTTAGGCTGTGTTCGTTGCAAATATTGTTTGAATTTTTCGCAGCCCTTGAAGTTGGCCGGATGATCACCCCCACACAGGGCACAAGTGGCTGGAGTATTTTTTGGACGTGTGCAATCGGACGTTTTATGTTCTTCGCCACAGACGACGCAAATGTATTCTCGATGGCAATATTTGGATGTGTGACCGTAATCCTGGCAGCGATGGCATTGAGTTATTTCTGAAGATTTCCTTGCGACCTCGATGTTTACTCTCTGTCTGCAGAAAAGTTTGGACCCAAGAACATTTTTGTTATTTTCTTTGGGGACTAGACTTATGAAAAACATGTTCATAGGATTGCCTGTCTTCCTTGATTTGGGGTTGTAGATGTTTAAAGCTTGATGGCCCAATTTTTTTAGTTGGTCCTCAATCTGTGTCTTAGATGTGCAGGGGGATAGGCCTAGAATAACCACCTTATAAGGCTTGTCCTCTTTTAATTGGTACGAATGAAACTCAATTTTATATGCGTTTAGCTGACAAACAGTTGCTCGATAGCTTTCAGAATCTTTGGCGTAAATTCTTGTTATTCCTCCCATCGAGGATTTGACTTCAATGTTGTCCAAATCGCAAGCTTCTTCTATACAGATTAAAAGCTCTTGAAGATTGACTACGTCCTGAATGACAATAGGTGGCGGCTTCGAGGTTTTTTTGGCTGTGTTTCCAGGAGTGTTATTGTTAGACTGTGATCCGGCAGTTAACCGTGCGCGGGCAGCAGCGGCACTGGTTCTGGGAAGCTCACTTTCGAGGATATGGTTTTGAGGTGGAACAAGACCAGGATATAACTCATCTAGATCCATATCAGGAGCTTCATCTTCTGCTAGAATGGCGAATGGGTTACCTTCTAAAGGATTATTGTCGATTAGTGCCGAGTTGTTGGCGGCGGTAGCATTGGTGGCATTGATGGTGTTATTATTGTTTGTAGCTGTTTTTTTTATGTTTAAAGCTGGAGAGTTGGGCAGCTTGCGTTTTTTTTGCTGTATTAGCAAGTGGCGCGGTGACGGATTGGTCGGTTGTTCATTAATAGAGCCGTTATTAGCAGTGGGCTGATCCGCATTGCCCTCTGGCAATTGGGGAAAATTATTATTATGGTTAGTCATAATGTTTGCAAATTCGCGATTTGAATCAGTCATTTTAAATATGCTTGAAGTAAGTTTTATGTGATTGCGATTGTTTTCCATTTAAAATTTGCTTCGAAAATTCCTCGGGCCTTTTCTGCAGAATTTCGCAGAGCGGGCCCACGTATTTTGTTTGTATACGCACAACGAAATTAATTTTTTTGTAGTAGAAAGACCGACACAAAAGAGAGATTCAGATGTCTGGCGCCGTTTCTCCGCGCGAAACTTGCTGGCGAGCAATAGAATAACGGTGAAATTTAAAGAGAAGAAACACAACGTTTTTTTTTGTTTTTTTTTCTGCGACGATCGAGACCGCGAAACTCGCTGGCGAGCAATAGAATAACGGTGAAATTTAAAGAGAAAAAACAAAGTTTTTTGTGCGCGGCGATCGAACAGAGCTGCACGTCTGCACGCTTTGAAAGCTAGATCGCGAATGAAAGTATTTCAGAAAAATTAAATTTGACAAAAATATGTAAGCCCAAAAGATTTAAAATCGTGAAAATCGTTAAAAATTGTTATATTTTCAAACCGTGTAAAAAAAGATCGTGTAAAAACAGAATTAGGTTATAATGTTTAAAGAAAACAATTATTAATAATTGAGTCAATTATTGCACAGTAAATACGAAGTAGTATTTTTCTCTGACATTTAATAAAAATTTGTAATGTTGGTGGTCTTCCGTTACAGCACTGATCAATAGTTAAATACCATATTTGTTTGCCATTTGTGTTTGCAACCTCGGTATCGCTCATGATATATTTTTAACAATAATACCCTGAACCCCTTTAATTCCAACACCAAATGCAGCACGCGCTACGCGCTTGTTAACAGATATATAATAAAAAAAAGTTCCTTTGGCGGGGTTCGAATTTCGAACTCGTAACTAACCGCACTACTTGCCGCCGTCTCTACTCAACAGCCACACACGCCAAAAAAAAAGTATCTTCCTCACACCTATATTTGATTCTTATTGAGAAGAAAACGATTTAAAATAGCAGCACAGAAAAAAACAATAGAATCGAACTCGAAGCAGACGCGCATGAAAGCGTGTGTGTACATGTATACGCAGTCAAAATACCGAAAAACAAAACAAAAACCGATATTAATAAAATTTTCTACAGTATATCTTATTGTACCATAGAATATTTGTGTATTCTCAAAAAGTAATTTGCATTAAATTGGAGCTTAAATTGGTGGGCAATACAAGTTAGGTTATTTACTTGATTTATAGCTATGAAGTAGTAGCGGGGAGGTGGCGATAGGTATAAAATAAAATATACTTGATATATATGTCGGAACAGAGAAATCACTTTCTTTGCAATTAGGCATACTGGCAGCACAGCAAGTCCCGAGTGTCGTTATAGTCACAAAATAATTATATTTTTAGGAGCGAGCACGTCTGTTCTCTATGACTTCCACTTTTAGAATGAATAATTTTCATCGTCCTCGAGCATACTACTCATGCTCTTGTCATTCTATATTCTTCTCTGACTTTTAGTACTGTTAGTGAACATTCAACACTATAGCAAACTGGACGTTATACAACACACTCGGGCCATGCTCGGCAGAGACTATCTTTTTTGTCTCACACCATGCTTTCAGTAGCAACCCTAATACAAGTAGGACAGTTATGTTAAATAGCAGTACCTTCTGTCAAATTCTCTGATTCTTACTAACACTTAATCGTTAGCATTCAAAATAATACTCACAATAATTTATTGGATACACGACACGGCCTTCCTGACATTTCACACGTCCTCGTGTGTACATTTCGCTTAGATCATGCCATAGTCAAAATTGTTGGGTAAAATTTATTAGTCATTACTTTACTTTAAGAATAGCTTTACAAACAGCAGTATCATCGGTCATTGTAGGTTTTATTTTTTTATTTTTTTTTTTTTTTTTTGTTGTTGTTGTTCTGTCATCACACGTCTATAGGCTCTTGCTGCCCAGCAACGATAACATGGAGCGGATCCATACAGGTCTTTCAACCTCTGACCCCCGCCATAATATCACCCGCTTCAGCACGCCATGATCGAGCACTTGTGCACGGCGTGAGTATTATGGTGCGGTCTTAGCCATCGTGTATGAGCCCAACCGCACTCTCTCTTAGTGCCACAGTGTCTTGAGCAATGTCCTCAACATTGTCACACTCATCATCTCTCAAATCTATCAACTCCTCCGATACATTGTTGCTTGGAAAAGCTCGCAAATACTCATGTGCATACTTAAACGTGCGCTTACTCGTCAATGACTTTAATAAATATCTGTCTCCATCAAGTATTTCGATTATCTCAAAAGGTCCCTTAAACTTGGGATCTAACTTCGTTTGATTTCGTTCTTCCCTCTTGAGTAGGACATGATCACCAAGCTTATATTTTACAATTTTTGTTTTATTTTTATCAAACCTAGCCTTATCATATTTAGCGTTATTCACCATGTTATCTTTCGCTTGTGCTCTTATTAAATCTTTATCAATTGTTTTTTCATCTGATATTGTTATCATTCCTAACGGCCTTGCCTCTTTACCGATTAGCAATTCTAACGGACTATATTTCGTTACACGATTTGTCGTGCAATTTATTGCCAGCTGTATGTCTTTTAAAGCGTCTTGCCAGGATCGCTGACTACTCTCAACCGCTGTGAGCATGCTCTTCAAGGTGCTCATGACACGCTCTACTTGGCCGTTTGCTCGACTGGCGCCCGTCGCAATCAGGTGTAAACCTATCTTCTGCGAAGAACAAAATTCCCTAAACCTTGTGCTAGCAAAACATCTACCCTGATCAGCTATGATGCGTGCCGGCACTCCGAATAGTGCAACAGTTTCTTTGACTGCCTTAATGCAGTTTTCCGTATTAAGGTTCAGCGTATGTTGAAGGTGAACAAATTTTGTGAATGCATCAACTTGAACTATGATGTACTCTTTTAAGTCGTTTTTGCCACTTAATTTTCCGGTTATATCAATATGCACAGTGTGCCAGGGTATGTCATCTTTAGGAATCGGGTGCATTTCTATTTGTGGCTTACCAGATGGTGGTTTTGACACTCTACAGGTAATGCAATTTTCTACAAACTTTTTCACATACTTAGACATCTTCTCGAACCAGTAGTTGGCATACATTTTGTCTATAGTTTTCTTCCACCCTAAATGCATTATGGCTTCGTGAACATTGTTAATGACTGACCATCTAAAGGCTCTAGGTATTACAGGCAAACATTTTGTGCTGCCATTTCTTTGAATCCTTCGATATAATACTCCTGCTCTCAATTCGTACGACGCTGAGATAGCTTCTCCCATCTTATGGTTTCGCAATTTTAAGGTTATGGAAGCAATGTCAGAATCTCGTTGCTGTTCGGCTAGAAGCCAATCGTCGGTTATCTCAGCTAGGTTTATGTGCATTTCAACCGTTTTCGCTGAGGATTTATAATCAGTAGGCAACGGATTGCGCGAGAAAAAATCAGCATGTAACATGCGTTCTCCCTTCCTGTATTCAATGCTGAAATCAAATGATTGCAGATATGCCCACCATCTATGTACCCTTGGGGTAAGGTTAATTTTTTTGATACTTGCTTTCAGGGAGTTGCAATCTGTATGCACAATAAATTTTTGACCATGTAAATAATGGCGGAAGTGTCTTACTGCGTTGTAAACTGCGAGGGTCTCAAGCTCGTATGAATGATATTTTGCTTCAGCCATTGTCGTACATTTGCTGTAATATTCAATGACTCTGGGTCTATTTTCTATCTTGTGCATTAAAATAGCACCATATCCAATAGAACTTGCGTCTGTATGTAATTCCATTGGCTTTAGTGGATCGAAAATTGTCAAAACGGAGTCATTAGTCAAAATTGATACGATTTTTTGACGAATTTCCTCATATTCCGGCTTCCAGACAAATTTATTATTTTTGGAGGTGAGATTATATAAAGCTTTCATCTGCTCAGAAAATTTTGGTACGAATTGCCTAAAATACGAGGCTAGGCCTATGAATTGTCGCACCTGCGTTACTGACTGCGGTGACGGCAATTCGGCCAACGCTTGTATCTTGCGTGGATTTGGTCGAATTTGACCCGCTTCAACCAAGTATCCTAAATATTCTATGCTTGTTTTCAAGAACGAGCATTTTGTAATGTTAAATGAGAATCCAGCTCTAGACAAGTTTTCTAAGACCGTTTGTAGCCTTTCAAGTGCCTCTTCCTTTGTCTTCGCTAGAATTAACACGTCATCTATATAGACGATGGCATACGTTTGAGCCAAATCACCCAATGCTCTCACGATTGCGCGCTGGAAAATCGAGGAAGCATTTTTTAATCCAAAAGGCATGGCCAAAAATTCATACTGTCCTTCTGGCGTGACAAAAGCAGTGCGCTCGATAGAGTCTGGGTGTATTGGAACTTGGTAAAAACCACTTGCCATGTCTAAACTGGAGAAATATTTGCCTTCACTCAGTCTATTAATTTGATCAGAAATCAAAGGCAGCGGATATTTGTCAGCGACCGTATTAGCATTCAGTTCCCGATAATCGACACATAGTCGATCGGTTCCATTTTTCTTTCTTACCATCAGCATTGGGCTTGCAAATGGAGAGCAACTAGGACGTATAACGTTTGCGTCTAACAATTCTTTTACTTTATTTCGCACGACTTCTTTTTCTTCTATGCTTAACCTATACGGACGCCTTTGTACAGTTTTATTTGGGTCAAGCAGGCGGATTTCAAGTTCACCCGTAGTCACTCGCGTTTGAGGAATACCCTCAATAAATTTATCAGCATAGTTTTGCAATAATTCTAGCAGACGATTCTTATCAGTGTTGCTTAATGCTCTATCGTTATTCAGATGCTCTACGTAACTTATATCTGGCACTTTTATTAGTACATCAACAGTTTTGGTTTTGTACATTTCAAATTTGTCGGCCTCGATGGAGACTCCAAAGCCTAATCCGAGTATATCACGGCCTATCAATACATCGTATTTCAAAAACTTATCCATTATTACATGAAATAATATTTCTAAGGAGTACTGATCAATTTTAACAGTAGCCAAGATTTGCATAGTGCTATACACAGGATTTTCTCCAATACCCCTCAAAACTATCAAATTATTAATTCTTTTTCCGGAAAATTTCTCGGCACAACTCTCTCTGATGAGCGTACATTCCGCTCCAGAGTCAAAACAAAATGGAACGAGCTCACCAGATTGACGCAGGATTCCTTTTGGCTCGGACACACAACAGATGTTTATACGCTTCTCATGTGATCCAACACCGCTCGTAGAAACTCCTTTCGTACATGAAGACGCAATGTGGCCAGCATCGCCACATTTGAAGCAGGTAACGGCAGATCGAACTTTAGGTAATGCTGAGTTTTTTGACACGTTGCCTTCTTCATACTTCCTCTTGCGACATTCGACCATTTTGTGTCCGAGGTTTCCACAATGATGACATTTAATGCCATATGTTTTCGATCTCTTGCGATCTGGTTCCATTGGGATATTTGGCTGTAGACCTCCATTTGACCTTCCATAAGCATAGGCCTTCAGATGCTGTTGCATCTCGTCTTGACTTTTAATATTAGTCGTATATAACATACGTTGCAGACTTTTGTCGATTTTCGATGTATGTGCCAAAACAACTGAGACTGCAATTTCCTCCATGTTCGCTGTCTTCCATTTGGATAAAAGTGACGTCACAAGACGGCTCGCATATACGGAGAGGCATTCGCCATCATTCGGTCGGCCATTAAAAATGTTCATTAAAGTTGCCGCCGATGTTTCCATTCCCACGAAACGTTGCAAAAACAATTCCTTAAAATTTTGCCAGTTCATTCCAGTATAGCATATTTGAGAAAGCCAGGACGAGGCGCTTCCTTCTAGGGAGCCGCTGAGGGTCATCACCAGTGTACTGCCCTCAATAGGATTATCGTCAAGTATTATGTCTACAGTTTTGCACCAGGCATTTGCATCTGCGCCTGCAATGTCCGGGTTGAACTTTGGCAACGAGATGCTCTTCTTTGTTGAGGATGCTGAATTTGACATCTGCATTGCTTTAATAATCTCAAGAATATTTCGATTTTGAGATTCCAAAAGCTGACGCCACGAATCGTCAGAATTGCCTCGTGGAGGGGCATCGCCTGATCCCACTTCTGATGTCGGAACAGAGAAATCACTTTCTTTGCAATTAGGCATACTGGCAGCACAGCAAGTCCCGAGTGTCGTTATAGTCACAAAATAATTATATTTTTAGGAGCGAGCACGTCTGTTCTCTATGACTTCCACTTTTAGAATGAATAATTTTCATCGTCCTCGAGCATACTACTCATGCTCTTGTCATTCTATATTCTTCTCTGACTTTTAGTACTGTTAGTGAACATTCAACACTATAGCAAACTGGACGTTATACAACACACTCGGGCCATGCTCGGCAGAGACTATCTTTTTTGTCTCACACCATGCTTTCAGTAGCAACCCTAATACAAGTAGGACAGTTATGTTAAATAGCAGTACCTTCTGTCAAATTCTCTGATTCTTACTAACACTTAATCGTTAGCATTCAAAATAATACTCACAATAATTTATTGGATACACGACATATATATACTATTCTAGAGTAAACATATCACTTGTGGAATAGGAGGACCTACCGCTACAATTTCAAGTCTCCAGCACTTATAGTTCCTAAAATCCTTGCGTTCATACATACGGACGGACGGACAGGCGGACAGACAAACGGACATGGCTAGATCGACAGCCGACTGTTGATGCTGATCAAGAATATATGTATATATGTACATACATAGATACTCCTATTTATAGAAAGTATATGTAATGTTTCAAGAAAAAAATTATTAATGATTGCACATAGGCTCTCACATAGGCTTAAAATTATTCTATGAGTATAGCGTTTGTTTACAGCACTGATAAATGGTTAAAATAGCCCATTTTGGGAGAGCGTGCTTTGCTGGCCCACAAATGAAAAATTATAAAAAAGAAGGCATGACTTTGTGACTTTGCGAATTATAGGCATGGTAGTGCTTAGAAACCACAACAATAAGTTAGAAGTGTGCAGAAGCTAAGATCGTGGCTTAAATTGGTGGCAATATAAGTTGGGTTATTAACTTGATTTATAGCTTTTTGGTGGTAGCAGGAAGATGGCTATAAAATTAAAGATACTTGATATATATATATATACTATTTTATAAGCAACATACCAAGTTTGGTAACTCTTATTATTTACCCAATTTACTCAAAAAAACAGAATTACGATATCGATTTTCATCGATTGCTTGGAAACCGAGTATGTTATCGGTTATCGGAAACAAACCCGATCTTCGCATGGATTAGGAGGACCTACAGCTAAAATTAACCGCTTTTACCTATTTTTAATGGGTTCAGGGTATAAAAAAAACCAAGCATGACATTTGCCACTTCTAAGGGACTGGTGAGAATAGTTGTTATGGTCGATGTACTCGAGTCGAGCAACGTACATTTTGATCTGTTCGCATTGGTGTTTCTATAGGTGTTGACTATCCCCGTAATATTGGCGATCCCCGTGGTAATGAAGTCAGTACATCTTGATTTAGTCATCCATTATTTTCAGCTGCTAGCGACGCTGTCGGTTTTCTGTCTTTTGCCGGTAGTGAAATCTGCTCCAATGCTGCATTCTGTTGGTCTCTGGTCTGCTATGGTATCTAATTTTGCTGATGTTTTCTGCTGTTTAATAAGGTGTATTTTCTGGATTCTCTCTCTATATGTTTTGTTGTTGTTGTCCCTCTTTTAACCCTGTGCCTTGGATCTGGTTGATACATATGTCTTTTTTTTGAGAATATTTTTTTTGTGTCGAATTTCATAATGAAGATCGCCCAAGCGTCTTGCAATCTCTCCTCGTGTCCACTTATCCATTCACGGGTTTCCAGAAAGGAAGTTAACTTTATCTTTAACCCCGAATTGGCGCACATTATGATTGCATTTTTAAAGTTGTTTTGCTGATACCTTTTCCTTGATGGTTTCTGGTCTAATCAAATGCAGTCGTGTACGTAATTTTCGACCCAAGAAAAGATTCGCTGGAGATTCGCCAGTTGTGCTATTCGGAGCGTGTCCTTCGGTCTTATTGCCTTTAGCGCAGTTTTTATCGTTTAAACATAACATTACGGCGATGATGAGGTATTGATTGAATTTAGTCGAAGTAAATGTGTCCCGTTAACGGACACTACCATGAGAGGGACGCCATACATTGCAAATAAATCATCTAGTTATTAGCTTTTTGTGGTTGCCGTAATTGATTTGGTGATCTTCACGTCCAACCAATTTGAGTAAGCATCCATAACAATCAAAAGCATCGCTCTTTCAAATGGGCCGGCGTAGTCGATGGGAATGCGTTCCCATGGCGACTTAGGGTATTCCTGCATTTTGGAGGTCGATTCGCATGTTTTGCGCAGAACTCGCATGTTCTTGCCACATTCTCGTTGTTCTTGTCGATTTATGGTAGACGAAAGCGTGTGCAATAAGTTCGTTCAGGATAAGTTTTTGGAGTTAATTGGTTGAATATATTCACTGTCATCGAATTTGGATGCTTATCAATGATCATTTAAGAATTTACAGTAGGTTTATAGTTGCCAGTGATTCGTAAAATTCCCAATTCTTTCGTTAGTGCATGTGTTGTAGATGCCTATTTTGAGTAGTCAACTCGTTTGTAGACGCCAACGGCAATTTTTGCGTCGATCTCTTTCGCATAAGCAATACGCAGCGCGAATGGTACATCTCTTGTGAAAATGGTTTTCGTGTCCGGCTTTAGGTGCACCTTAACAGCAGGTCATTTTTTTACGCTACAGCTGCAGAGTCAATTATCGGATCGAATTTTGTTAATAGTTGCTGTAGGTGTGCTCTCTTTCTCTTAGCCAATCCCGCTGATTGTACTCCTGTTGTTTTCATCGCACTTCCTTTTGTCGAGAATATGTCCAGATCTATGTAGTTGGTGTTGAAAGCTAGAAAATGTTCTGTCAGTTCTCTTTAATCGTATCAAAGGTTTATTTTTCCGAAGAGTCTTTTCATTCATTATGCTGCACGGAGCACCTGTGTCTAGTTTCATTGATATATGCGTTCCATCAATCTTTATTGTTGAGACGTTTTTCTACCCACTAACTTGATGTATTAGATGATTGTACAAATTGTATCTTTTCCGGGTCTTCTGAAACCGTTGACTCGGAGATAAGTCTCATATTGGACTTACTTACCTTGCTTATATGCCCTACTTGCAATCTTTGCGAAAGTATTGGACACCCTTAGCACTAGCTTTCTTGCTTCAATCCCCTTGAAGGCTTCTTTCTGATTGGCGAGAATTCCGGTTTGCGTGTGGACTCTGTATCTGCAGCTTGGTTGTCATTAACTGCATATGCTGATCGTGGTAACAGATCCCTGGAATTTGCATATCGTATACCTTTGCAACGGTTGTTGGCTGTTTCGCGATCACCTCATCGCATTTGTTCAGTCAGCATTCTGTCTGGAAACGAGTCGTACTTGTAAAATGATGCTGCATGTTTCCAGCGTAAAACAAACACGGCTAGTGACTGCTTTTGTGTAAATGTTTCGTTAGTCATAGAAGTAATTAATTATCACTACCTTAATCTCGCTGAATTATAGTGTGTCTTGTTGGCTCGGACCAGCTCCCATATGCACGCATGATAATGGTGGTGGTCACCATCAGCAATTTTACTTAGTTGCAGTGCCGATTCAAATAATTTGGCATTGCATTTTTGTCCCACTTGTTGCACTGCTGACTGAAAGGCGAAAGTCAGTTAACTGATGGCGTCTCGGTCATTTCACAATAACTGTAACAAGCTATTGTATAATAAAAGTAATATAGAGATCGTTATGCAATAGGGTGATAACTTACATGCTAAGAGCTTATATTTATCAGTAGAAGATTAAATTAAGTCAAACTTAACAGAAAAAACACGTACTGCGCGAGCACTAGAAGGACTTACATACGTGTCAAATTTCAAGTCCTTAGCTCTTACATTTCTTTCTTGCGTTAATACATACGGACATACGGATTTGGCTAGATCATTTTGGCTATTGATGCTAATCAAGAATATATATACTCTATGGGGTCGGAGATTCTTTCTTTCTTTCTGTACAACACATTTGCACAACCATTATTTGCAAAACTTCTTATACCCTTTTTAACCATTTTCACTGGCTTAGACTATGTTATTTACCCAGATTTGAGTGCCATATCTATATCTTTCGTTTAATTATTTCTGAAATCGCCAAGACACATAAGTATTTATAAAGTTCTCTGTGAGCTTTACTTATTATCCAAGAAGGGTAGACTTCGCCAAAAGTGTAAAGCACTCCTCAAGCAAAAAATATCATTAAGATTGATTTTGAATCCAATGGGATGGGATTTCGTGTATTGTTAACTAAAGCTTTCTAGCGCTAAAGGTTTGGACTGTGCGTTAATAACCAATCAATCAGTCAGGGCAAACAGTTTTATTTATAGAGATATGTTAGAAAGAAAGTTAGACTGCTTGTTGCTGTGTACAGGGTGACAGGGGACTAAGGGATACTCTATTACCTGTTTTCAGTCATATTTTGGAGAATTGTAGAGAGCACAACCCGTGTGGGGTGAATGTGAAGTCAGTGGTGGATCTGACGTGACTTTTTCACAGAATAACGCTATGTTGTTTATCTTTATCTCTCCCCCAATGCAGAGCCTATCACGGAGGTCATTGGAGGCCCCGAGCTACACATCAATAAAGGGTCCACCATTAATTTAACTTGCATTGTAAGATTTGCACCGGAACCACCCCCAACCGTCATCTGGTCGCACAATCGGCAGGTGAGTTTCAATCCTGAGTCATATCTAGTTTCACCTAGTTTCTGGAAAAATGCACTACAACTAGCATTAGTATAATGAAACAATTATGTATTCAAACAATATAAACACAATTTGGATGTGATACACAGCATGCACATGGAATTTATGAAATGCTCATTATTCTGAATCATCACAGCTACTTCAACCTTTGGGAAATATTATTTCATTCAACGTTGACTTATAAGTCTTTTCTCCTTCAATACTCGAGTGTCCTAAGAAGCTACAAATTACACATGGGTAATTTATATGTATGTGTATCCTGTGCCCACTGAAAGAAAGCGGTCGGAGTATTATCCGAAGTCGAACTTGCCGGTAAGAAGCAAAATGTTCACAAAATAAAATTGAAATATATGGCTACAAGGACAACAAATCCGGCTTATTGGTTTAAATCTCTTATGTTATACAAAGTAGAGTACCAAATTGGACATGTAGCTCTAGAATGGTATAAACAGATCTATTATCTTTTATTTTATACATAGATTTCGCCAACCTTCCGCAAGTAGATAATTGGAGCTGCCCGCAAATTAACGCCACAGTTTGCAAGAAATTTTTTGTTTTATGAGAATATGTGACAATTCTATAGCAAAATAAGATCTACTGCTGAAAATGTTATCAAGATCGGTTAAGAAACACAGAATTTCTTTATAAAATAGGTGCTGATATTTACACATGTTTGCGGCAGCTATCGCAATTGCAAGAATTTTTGTATACATGTATACACACATTCATGCCTATCTTTATTGAAGTCTATAATCTGCGTTTCAATTGTGATTGTATTGTATTCTGTGCTGTGTACAGTAGTATTGTGCTATAGAATATTCCTATATTCTCATTGTCTTATAGCTATGTGGAGGGGGTGTGGAGCTGGTGGTAGCTGTAAAATAAAAGATGCTTGATGTATATAAGTTAACTGATCCCATCGGCGGTGTCAACGAGCACGCGATGGCAGCAGCTAAGTGCTGACAAAACATAATTACCGGTCACCATTGCAGCGGTCAGCGGTAGCACTCGTGTTTATGGTAACCTTCTGATTTGCACGAGACGCAAGCTCAGCGTTATTACTATCAGCGGCTTCCTGCAACACTGAGGTACGGTCTTTGGTATTTAGTCATTAAGTGACATTAATATTGTCCGTTTGTGCCCAATAAATAACTAAAACTGAACCGCTTGTCGTCTTATTGTTACGCCCATCGGCCAACACCTACACCAAGGGAAAACAACTTATTCGGTTCCCAACGGAAAAGATTCCTCAAAAAACGAAAAGTATATGTTAGCGGTCTGATCAGCCATATTGTAGATAAACTAGCGGGTATAGGCCGTGCTCAAAAAGCTTTGAGAATGAAACAAATTAAAACTGAGCGGACGGTTAACAAACAAACAAACATCTTTCATATAAACGTGTTCTGCCATTTTATCACTGTTGTGAGTGGAATTTCCCAAATCGCTAAAACACGTATTCATTACATTCTAATGTAGAGCTTTGAAAATAAGTCTGATGCAAATCGGACACAACTTAAAATTTACAAGAAAAATCTTTAAAGTGCACTTACCACCGAAGGAGTTTAGATTTTGTGAAAAATGTGGGACACGTCTTAAATGCTTTTTTATGTAGATCCCCCGAAATGAATATATGGGCGAAACGTCATCCGCCAAATCTTTGATTCCTGTTCCCACCAAGGAGGAATACATTTTTGGCAAAGTTCTAAGCATCCCTCAAATAAATTTTTACAAAGAACTTTGAAATTAAGTTTAAGGCCGATCGGATGGTAAGCAAAAAAATTTAAAACAAACGTTTTTTGCGTAAACATCGATCGTCGCCACTATCAAAACAACGAACGATGAAACAATCTACTTACATCAAACTGTACTCATATCCAATGGGCCTGATAGACGTTGTAAACAAAGTTGCTGTAGAACTCCTTGAATGCGGCATGTTAGAAAATCAAGGTGGCCAAACAATAATCCGAAATAGAGAAAAAGAAAAACGTCTCGTCATCGACTTTGGGAATCTGAACAAACAAACATGCCAAGCACCTCAATTGAATAAGCCAATCTAGGTAAAGCTAAGTACTCCAAAACGCTAAATCTGAAGATCACCTATCATCAGATTATTTAAGCGCATCCAGATAGAAAAAAAACATCTTTTTCTGTTAATGGGGGTAAGTACGAGTTTTTCAGGCTTCCTTTGGGATGGAAAAATGCGGGCCTCCGAGCCATCGACGGTCTTCTGCGTGAAAAAATATGCAGATCATGCTACCTTTACGTTGACGACGTCTTCTCACAAACCTAGATAGAACATTTCAAGCATGTTGACAAGGTGCTAAAATCACTCCTAGAACAAAACATGAAAGTGCGCGAGGGAAGACACAGTTTTTCGAGAAAAGCGTTGACCACCTTGGGCTTATTGTAACCACAGAGAGCGCAATAAAAGACCCTGGAAAATTCAAAGCGATTATGTTGAACCAGAAAACCTTTACGCAATAGGGTCCTTCCAAGGACTGGCGCTTCATCAAAGAATTTGGGTCGATTGCGAAACTTTTGTCCAATATCCTTAAAGGGAAAAACGGGTCGGGTAGTGGCCATAAGTCAAAAATAATTTCCAGTTGAGCTGCACGAAACATATTCAAGCAAATTATAAACAAGTAAGAAAATCAAGATGCGATCTTCCGACTAGGGAATACCCTGAACCTCTTCTACCAACACTGACCTCAGCTCGCGCTACGCGCTCGTTTGCTCTAGTCCCTCTTATTCCAACACCAAATAAATTAATAAAAAAAGTGCCTTTGGCAGGACTCGAACTCGCAACTGACCGCATTACATGCTGTCGACTCTACTCAACAGCCACACCAGCAAAAAAAAAAAACAAGTAAGAGGTTCTAGTCGGGAGCTCCCGACTAGGGGATACCCTAAACCCTCTTCTTCCAACATCAAATGCATATATATATTCTATTTTAGAAGCTATATATCAAGTTTGGTGACTCTAGCTCTTATTATTTACCAAAATTAACAAAAAAACAGGATATCGATATAGATTTTTATCGGACGGACGGACAGACAGACGGACATGGCTAGATCGACTCGGCTATTGATGCTGATCAAGAATATATATACTTTATGGGGTCGGAGATGCTTTCTTCTGCCTGTTACATACATTTGGATTTTGCACAAATACAATATACCCTTGTACCCATTTTTAATGGGTTCAGGGTATAATAATACTTTCCCCGGTAGGGCTCGAATTCACGACAGACCGCACCACTTGCTATGCCTCTACTCTGCAGCTACACCAACAATTATGATAAAAAAAAGGAACTAAAATAACATTCCAATAAAAAGATGCAATTACCATGCTATTAGAATGCGAAGCAGACGCGCATGAATGTGTGTGTGTACATGTATACAGAAATTCTTAAAGCTGCTCTCCATTCAATTGCGCAGTTGCATATAACTTTGGTTGTTCTTAAACGATCTTTATGAAATTTTCTACATTATATCTTATTATACTATAGAATATTTGTGTATTCTGAAAAAGTCAATTGCATTTAAATTGTGGTTTAAAAGTTGGGTTATTAACTTGATTTATAGCTCTGCGGTGGTAGCGGGGAGGTGGCGATAAGTATGAAATGAAAGATACTTGAAATATCTATAATATTCTAGAAGCAACATATCATGTTTGGTGGCTCTAGCTCTTATTATTTACCCAATTTGCTAAAAAAAAAACAGGATGCCGATATCGATTTTTATCGATTGCTTGGAAACGGACTAATTTATCGATTATCGGAAGCAAGTACGATCTGCGCGGGAACTAGGAGGACCTACATCTAAAATTTCAAGTCTCTAGCTCTTATAGGTTCTGAGATCCTAGCGTTCATATATACGGACGGACGAACGGACGGACATGGCTAGATCGACTCGGCTATTGGTGCTGATCAAGAATATATATACTTTATGGGGTCGGAGATGCTTCCTTCTGCCTGTTACATATATTTGGATTTTGCACAAACACAATATACCCTTAAACCCATTTTTAATGGGTTCAGGGTATAAAAAAAATAACTGTTTCCTCGATAGGGATCGAGCTCGTAACAGAGCACACTATTTGCAAACGCCTCTACTCAACAGCCACTCCAAGTATTAAGTCAATTACCATGCTGTTGGTAGAATTCAATAGAGACGCGTATGAATGTGTGTGTTAACATGTATACAGAATTTCTTCCCATTTTCCCAAGCTGCCGCAAACACGAAGCTAGCCAAAACACGGTTTCTTTGTGTTTCTTAACCGATATTGACGAAATTTTCAGAAGAGCTTGTTATGCTATAGAATATTCGTATATTATTAAAAAGACAATTGCTTTAAAATTATAGTTTAAGTTGGTGGGTAGTTCATATGTATTTAATTTATTGCTACGTAGTGGCTTAAACCATTTTTTATGGGTTCAGGGTATAAATTAAATATATCCCTCAATGGGCTCGAACGCGTAACAGACCACACTTCTTGCCACCACCCTTACTCAATAGACAAACCAACAATTCATCTTCAATGAGAAAAAAACGAATTAAAAAAGCAGCACAGAAGACAATACAATCGCAATTGCCATGAATGTGTAAGGGTACATGTATACAGAAATTCTTGCGATTTGCGCATATACAAGCCCTTAAGAACACGTTTTCAAGGTCAATTTTAATTGATTGATTATTATCGATTATCGCAAATAAGCTCGTACTACGCACGAGTTACCAAAGGAGAGCCTTGTCCAGTGTTAAAGGTGACTTCCTTTTAGTGCCTTGTAATGTGACTTCTGATGTTGACAGGTTTCTCCAATGCAAGATTATTATTAAGTCAAGAATTTGATGTTATCAATAAAAAAAAATTACAACCGCTTCGTGTTGAAGGGCAAACAAAATTGAGAATATTCTTTATTAACAGAAGTATGTATATATCTTAATGTCTACAAGCCACA